AAACACATTTCCCATCTCTAAAGTGTTTTATTTTCATGATATGGGCTTTAATTAAGGAGAAACTATTTCAAAGACTGAGTGGCATTCTGCACTTAGAAAAAGCAAAACCAAAAAATGTTCCTCGTTTGTGTACTGCTACCAAATTTTCTGGAAATCTTAAAGCCCAGGGCCTTCAATATGTAGAAAGAAAAGTATGAAGTCTCCTCCAGAAATTCAGTAATAACTATAGCCCCTATAGTTGGCTCTGTTCCAGCTCCCTTTCTCTCCTTTTCTTAAGGGAGTACATTAGAGCAATTTAACTCCCTACCTATGTCCTGATCCCCAGGGAAAGGTAGCAGAGAATGGCTTCAATAATTATTCAAAGTGGACTAATAATAAATTAACACATTTCTAAAAATGAAATTTCACATTTAAATATGTAATCACTGTCTGATGACATCTTGATGAAGACCCCTATAATTAAGAATACTATCTGCACAAATTTAATTATTTTTCTATAAACTATTTTCACAACTCAAAAAAAAAAGAGCTTCTAAGTATTTTTCCCCATACAGACTGTTTTTGTGAGTTTGACTTTTTTTGAATTTTAGAAACATGTTAAAATTTGAGATAGTTTATTTTTATAGGTGGTCTCTCTTCTAATGTTTAAAATCCCACTCATCTATATACCTAATTTATCAAAGAGAATTCTAAGTTTTTGCTTTTGTCTGCAAACTTGGTTCTTCTAACAAGACTGTTAGAAGGCAGAAATGTGGCAGGAAATTGGAGGTGGGGGAAAACCTCCCAATCATGAACAAAGAGATATACTGAGATATACTTAGGATGACTTTGTATATATCAGAATGCTATATTGGAAGATGAAGAGTTGAGAGTATAAAGGAACAGAAAGGGGGGGAAAAATTAACAAAAGGAAGACAGATTCTTCCTAAAGAGAAGCTTGTACGTCTATTTTACACCTATTATTTCTCTTGCTGACTACATAAGGATGAGCTGAGACATCTTTACAGCTAGTAATCTTTAAGTAAAGATGCAGAAGGGCTTCCAATTACAGGAGCTGGACTCCCAATTAAGCAGCTAGGTTCAATCTTTAGGCAACTTTAACAAGCATTGTGAAACATAAACTCAACACAACAGAGAATAATGTTGGGAATTATGTTCCCATGTCCTTAAATTCAGTCCCTGAGGGCCCTAAAATCAAGAATTTAGGGCTCCACAAACCTATTTTTATTCAGAAATGACAAAAATCTAGATAGAGTTTGTTGTTATCAGGTTTTTATTTCTTTTGAAATTGTTTCTCCCAGAAAAGATTATTTTGTGGCTCAAGACAGTGAGTTGCTCAGACAAATCTTTTCACTTCTTTAAAAAAAAAAAGAAAGGAAGAAAACACCCTTCTCTTCTGAAATATTAAACAGGAAAAGATGGATAGAATGGAAACTTACGATCCATTAAGAATGGATCTCTATAACTTTTATGTAGCATTTGGAAGTTTATACAAACAAATATTGAATCAAATCTCTTCTTTAGAACTGACTATCTCCTTCCCTCTGACTTCCAGCCACCTAAAAGCTTACAGTCTTGATTATTTAAGAAGAATTAGTTGCTCTTAATTCTACTTAAGTATCTAAGACAAATACCCAGCAATTTACAAATACATTTTTAAATGCAGAGAGAGGCCTACCCACTAAATACACAGTAATAAGATCCAATATAATTTATAAGGGTAGAGCATATGCCCAAAGGTAACATGCCTCTAGGGCTGGTTTTTTAAGGCAGAAAAGCAATGAGATTTAGCACCTAATTCTGATTCTCATAATCAACCTGAATAGCAATTTAACTAATCAGCAGCTCATTTCAAGTGTCTATATTTGCCACACACAATTCAAATAACTGCAGTCATTTGTTGGGAGGCATATTCTCTATGGAAACATCAATATGCAAAGAAGGGCAAGACCTCCGATCCTTGCTGTTAACTCTCCACACAGCTGTTAAGTGCATTTGCGAAATTCGAGTTGACCTATAAGTGCACCGTAATGCTTTAAAATGTAGCGTTTTAAAAATCAATATGGTTGGGAAAGTGTACTAATTAGACAGCATCCGAGCAATTAGAAAGTCAGTATTAAGTCAAGATACATTTTTATTATCATGAGGCTACTATGCAGCTAAGACACAGACCACCCATTTCCTATTAAAGATGTCCTTCCCAAGTTGCAGGCTAAATTTAATCAATACCTTCTCCTTGAATTTAGTGGTTAAAGAAGTGAATAAAAATTATCTGGGCTAAATCTGATTCTGAAGTAAGAAATAAAGTGCTATGGCCCAGGTTAGTGTAGTTAGAGATGTCTGCAAGTAAACGGTAAATAGGTTAATCTTCCCCAAGGAGCTGAAGCAGAGTAACCCTTGGGGAAGCCCAGCAGAAGGACATTTAGAATGGACTAAAGCCAGCTTCACACAATGTGGGGGTGACCAGAATAGGCAAGCGACAAACAAGGAACCCCAAGCTATTCTTTGAAAGGACAGATTGTGAGTGGGTGCAGTGTGGCAAGGATGGTGAAGCCAACTCTTATTCCTCCTTGACACAATTAGAGTCATGGTGAGCTAAGGAGTCTTCAGAAACCAAGGAGGAAGATGGCAGCAAAGACCTGCTAGGTGACTCCCTATTTTCCCCCATGAGTCTGGGACAATCAAGCCATCAAGCAAATAAGCAGGTGTTCAGCAAGTACCTACTGTGTGTCAAGCTTTGGGTGCCAGGAAGACAGACACAAATCAAACAGTCCAATTTGGAGGTTCTGACAATATAACCAGGAAAGACAATGGGGATACATAAAGTAGATAGAAAAAGATAACTGAGGGAGGGGGAGATGCTAGCAGCTGGGGGATCAGCTGAGCCTCTTGATTTGGGTCTTGAAGCACTCTAAAAGGAGAGTGGAGAGGGAAGTTAGGAGGGCATTCCAGGAAGACGGATGACCAGAGACAGGAGGAGGAACGCTGTGTTTGAGGAACAGTAAAAAGGCCAGTGTGGCTGTTCATGAAGCAGGACTGGCAAGGTGGGCTAGGTCTCAGTTGTGAAGGGCTTTAAGTGACTGGATAGTTTAGTCAGTCAATCATCAAACATTTAAGTGCTTACACAAAGAGGGGCAAAGAAGAGTCCCTGCCCTCCAGGGGTTTTTAATTTGCTCCCAGAATTGTCAGGGAGCCACTGGAGACATGATGACATCTTTCAGGAAAATCACTTTGGCAGCTGTGCGGAGGGAATGGACTGGGGCTGGACTTGAGGCAAGAAGCCCAATTAGTAGCAGGCTATTACAATTTTCCAGGCAAAAGGTGATAAGGGCATGGGGGGAGGGGAAGAGTTAGTTGTACGAATGGAGAGAATAAGATGAGTGCAATCATGAATGCTATAAAAAGGCAAGAATACTAATTATTTTTGAAGTATTTTGCTTATTAGTGACATAATTTTTTTTTATAGGAGTAGATAAAGATGAAAATTTTACTGTTCCATTATGGGACTTTCATTATTAAATTAGTTCACTTTCTTCCCAGTAAGCATTTTTTATAACTTGTTTGAAATAAAGTCAAAAGTTTTATTATTGGTTTGCCAAATGAAGGACAAGGTAAAAATGATGTGGGAAAAAAGGAAATTGGTAATAAATACTAAAGGTTAAAAATTAATTCTGAAGCATCTGCCAACTATATGTGAAGTTCAGTATTTTTCTAAGAGATAGTTCGATGTAGTGAAACCAACCCTGCGTATGAAGTGAGGAGAAACTTGGGTTTGAATCCCGGCTCTGACACTTTCTAGCTGTGTATGTGACAGTGGGCATGTTGGCTAACCTTTCCTGGCCTCAATTTCCTCATCTGCAAAATGGAGAAAGGATCTGTTGTCTCTTCATCACAGAGTTACTGTGAGAAGCAAATGAAAATCCATGTCCAGCACCCTACAAATTTTAAAGTGCTATATTAACAGTGCTGGCTATTTATTATTATATTATTATATAGATGGCCTGGGAAACTGCACCACTGTGCATTTTTCCTTTCAGGAGGAGCGCAAAGAGTAGGAAATAAACAAAACAAAAACAAACCACCCCCTCAAACCATGCCCCACACACAACAGCAAAGGCTTGTGACATACATCATTATCTCCACTTCCATTTCCAGAAGGCTTCTAAGGTTCCCATGTCTGGCATTAGGAAGATGAGATCCAGGCATCTCATGGGCAGAAGGACTGCTGCTCAGACATTTTCTCTGCCTTTACCTATTTCACACCTGAAGCCCTGTGTTGGCCAGGGTGACTCCTTTTGGATGTCTTCCTCATGGCAAGGACTGCTACATACGGCAAAGGCCTTTAATAAATGCCAGATGATTCTGACACCACACAGAACGTTGGCCTCTAGGAATAAGCGTCATGCCCACAAAAAGTAAATTAACTTCTCAGGATTCTTAGCTCCAAACAACAGTTACTGAGGTTACAAAGAAATTCATCTAAAGCAGAGCCAAATATATCTATCCCTTCTTAATAGTGGATTCCATTTGAGGAAAAACCTTTATTCAGTCTAATCTGTTGTCAGTCCATTGAATAGGGTGCTGTTCATCCTAAGAAATTAGCTCAGTAACTAGAGATTCACAGTAGGGTAAAAATAAAGTCTTAAAGTATCTGGCTGGTAGTCAATTTTACCCAAAGCTGATTCCACTGGATCCTGTGAAATATAGGGGGAGAATGGACTTAGCCTACCCAGCTCTGGAACACTGCCTGACTTGAAGAATTCACAACAGGAAACCCAACCCCCACAATGAACAATTAATAACATGTAGAATAGTCTCAACAGATGCAAGGCTGTGGAAAGAAGCCGGCGATGAAAGTTCAATCACTAGATTACTGTTAAAGTTCAATCACTAGATTACTGTTATCAGAAAAAGAAAAAAAAAGTCCAGTAATTCCTGAGATGACTTTCTACAAAGCTGAAAAGGAAAACAGCTTAAGAATTTATAAACTAAAGACTCACCGGAATGCTTGATTTAGAACTTGATAATTAAAATGTTCTGGTGCCAATCCTATGACTACAGCATTAGGATCATTTACTGGTATTCCTGGGAAGGATGAAAAAATAGAATAGCTGAAATTAGCACTGAAAAATGAATTGCATATTTTCTCCTTTTATAACTACTCTGTTTGAAACATGTATAAATTCCCATTTTAGCCATATAATGATCTGAAGTGAAATGGATTTAAGAAGTACAGATCCTTATGCTCTACTTCATTCATTCATTCATTCATTCATTCTCTGATGTTATTCTTTGGAAGTACAACAGTACATTACTATTTTTTTAATGGCAAGAAAGGGAGGAGATTTAAAAAAAAGGGACTAAAAAGCACAATAAACTCTTTCCTGCTCTCTGAAAAACCACAGAATCCAAGAAAACAAAACTGGAAGTAACAACCTGCTGCTATGAAACAAGCAATTTCTAACTTCAAAAAAACTTTACTGATTATAAGAAACGAGAACAGCCAAGACTTAGCTACCAGATCAATATCAACTGATGAGAAACTAAAAATTCAACAAGCAAGAGAAATTGGACTTTCTAATTGATATAGTTAAGGCTAGCCCATTCTAGTAAGCATGCAGTACACTGTAGCCTGCACACACAATTTTCTGCATAACCCCAAACACAGTTTTGGTTCTCAAAATGTCACATTCTTTGCAACAGCCTTCTACCTAGGATTTCCACATCTGGTCTATTCCAATTTTACCTGCATAATACTGCAAGATTAATCTTCCTAATGCATGAATTTAGTCACATCCTTTTTCTGCTCAAAAACTTTATTGATTCCCTCCTTCCCCACTGCCTCCTCCTCCTCCCCCTCCTAATTAATCCATGCCAAAGCCTTAGTCTTCATAATCTGAGCTCTACCCAGCCTCATTATCCTTCCTGCAGTCTACATACTGGCAATTCATGAAGGCAAAGAGGTCTTACATCAGTGGAGAGAGAGTACCCACCCTGATGAAAATCATGAATCCTTGCTGTTTTTTATCTTCCAGATAATTTCTTTTATGGGGGGCACCCAGTTATCCATACATGTATTTCTCTCTTAATATGGTGTAAAACTTTGGAGAAGGCTGACAAGGTCTTCTTTCCTCTGTCCCTCGGTCACAGCTCCTCACAGACCGGCTGCCTGCTAGTGAGTTCTTCTGCTATGGACACTCTATGATTTGCTTCCATGGAGGAAAACTCACAGTGGTGAGCCCACAGATAACTGAGGGACTGAAACTGGTCCCTTGGGGTTTAGCTGGCAGGATGTCCTTCAGAGAGTTTATGGAAGGGTTCTTTCCCTGGAACTAGAATTTCAGAACAGCCTCTCAGGTCACTGACTCACTCACTGTAAGGCTGGGGATCCAGTTCTTTTATGAGGAAGACATACTATTCACTTTCATGAAGTCTTGAGATTACAAAGCAGGGATAGAGGGGAAGGGAGGCAGAGGAAGGAGGTGGAGGTACTGTGAACAAAACCTCTGACATGTGAAAGAGGAGAGAACATCACTACAGGCCACATTTCTTTTGCTATGGGGAAACCTAAAAAGCCACAGAAAAGAGAGTCATGGGGCAGCAGGATCCACCCTAGAAATCTGCCAATTCTACTTAACTAGTTGGCAATATCTGCCATTGGGGAATTTTTTTTCTTTCCAAATTCTTAACTTGTTCATTTCTATTCATCTTTGGTATTCACTGTGGCACAGGAGCAAGATTTGGCTGAATCGCAAAGTTACTGCACAAGTAGAGCCAGTTTAATTATTCAGAGTTTCATAAGCAAAGTGTGGATTATCTTGGCTCCTGGCTGTTCTGCCTTTCTGCAGCTGTCTTGTCACTAACTTCTCCATGAAGCAGTGGGTAAGAGAACTATAGTGAACAGAATCCAACATATACTTATTAAGCCCCTCCCTACTATATGCAAGACACCAGGGTAGGTGCTAGGAATATAAAAAATAAAGAGTTCCTACTAAAAATAGTAGCTTACTTTCCAATGGGGGATAAAACATACCATGATAAGGCAGAGAGTAAAAGGATGCAAAGGAGAAATAAAAACCCCAAAACTCCACAACGATACTAATAATGAGGAGCACTAAGACCTGGGAAGATCAGGGAAGGCTTCTCTGAGAAGGAAGCACCTCCTGGATCAGAAGTTCTAGGTTTCCTATTTGTTCAGAGTACTACCTCCAGTAAATCCTCCTGCACTGCTTTATATGAGCATGGAGGTGACCCTGGCCAAAGCTATGCTAGGGGAGTACCAGTTCTGGAAGACCTTTCCGGAGGAATTTCACCTCCCCAAAGACCAGTCCGGCCAAGCTCAAACAGGCCCATCACCAGGCTGAGAGAAACAAAGCTTTTGGGGACAGCAATTCATGAAGATCATCTGTCGTTGTTGTTTGTCCTTCTTTCTGAAGAGGACCAATGACATAACAGGGTGAAGTCTTTGATTTGTGTGTGAATTAAGTGAAGCAGAGTTGCACAAAGTCTAATGACTCACTCTCACCTCCAGAGTCATTGAAGTGGCAAAACAGAAGTCAAGACGACTGCCAATGGCCTGGGATACAGTGGATGACCTTGGCATCTTCTATGTCTGAACAAGCTCTAAGCACTCCACAGCACCTGCTTCAGCTGCCTTCATGGCCCCTGGAACAAACTGTTCTCATCCACCCATTCTGCCAGAGGAAGTATCCATATGTTTGGGGTAGGCATCCCCCTAACTCACCAAAGGGTTTGAGGCCTGTCAACCCTCAACCTGGTTTAACCCGTTGCCAAGATGGTTTTATTGGGGTGTGATCACTGAGCATACTACTGCTTCCTGAATCACAGGTGAGAGCTGAGTAACAGATGGACACCGAAGATAGATGAGCAGCCCTGAAAAGGGCTCAGTAAGCCCTCAAACCTGAGGTGCTACTCCTCCCTTGTAACCCATCCAACCCTGAAGATTGCCTACTAAGATAAGGGAGGAATACCCAGATCTATGAAATCATGGATTTCTAAAGTGCTCACTTTAGTTTAGTAGCATTATTCCTATTATCACTAATAATCGCTAAAATTTTAGCAGGGAAGCAGCTAAAACCTTTGGCCAAGTTTGGGATTATTGTGCATGAATTATCTGTATTATCCTTATACCCTATTAGCACAGATACTTGGGCATTTTCCACATTCTTATGGTAGTATCTTAATAAAGCAAGGCCATCTTCAGTATTCTTATCTATCTAGGATAATTCAGCATAATGATGGACCAGAAGATATCTTAAAGTTTGTCCCAGACCTAGGATTCAATATGAATATATTTCAATACCAGCTCCATACTGGAATAAAAACTCCCAACTTTCATCAGATAAAATCAAAAGGGAAAAGCCTAATAAAAATGAAATATGTTTTCTAGTCTTTTGGTAAAACTAGAAGTATAAATACACGACTGTATTTCCTGCTAATATAGAAATGTTCTGTGTAAAAATACACCCATTTCAAGCTATTTTTTAAAACTGTCCATATTTTGTGACTTTTTACATTTCTTTCTGTATATTATCATTTTGCTTCATACATGTTACATATAAAAGAAAACAAGGAGACAAGATCATCAATGTAAAAATAAGGTCCCACAGCCAAAGCAAAATTGTCTAAAAAACAAAGAGGTGCTTTAAAGGTGATGAAAAGACAAACAAGGAAGGTAAAATCCTACGTAAGAGGACAGGAAGAAGGGGAAAGGAGATTGTGTTGAATCAACATGAAAAGTTTATAAAAGAAGATTAGACTAAACCACTACCAGGAACACCAGCTATTTCAACATTAAATTGTTAGAAAAGAAATCAGGATAAACACCTCTTTTTTTCAGGTACAAACACAAAAGAAAAGATTTCTAAATTTCTCATACCTTGAAAGTCTGGAAGTGCCCGGTCATCAATCAGCAACATGGGCCTAACTTGCTTCTCCTGCACTAGGTTTCTAGCTGCTGTGAGAGAAGTGAATATCTCGTGCTCAGCGACATCAAAGTTCATTTTTCTCAGCCTCTCTAACAATTCCGCCTTGCTCTCTTTGGTTGTATTTGTCACAAACCTAATGGCAACAGCAGCAGTACGTAACCTAAAGAAGGGAAAATGCAGGGGTTAATGGAGCACTTTCCTAAAAAAGAAAAAAAAACACAGCTTAACAAACAGAACTGGGTTTCTATAATAATCAGCATTCTATTTTTCATACAACAAGACCCTAAGGTCCATATTTTTAGAGGCAAAAGGCTCACTTTATCACTGCTTAAACAGTTACATATTCTCTGCTTTGGCCCTCAACTTCAAGGACCAGCAAAATTATATCCTAGAAAGCTATATCCCTCCATCAGTGCTCCAGTGGTGCTCTCATAGCTATCAGTGCTTCAGTAGTGTTCTCATATTTATCTGAACTGCATCTTACTTACTGCAGGGTTTAAGCTTGTTTGTTTTTTAAAGAAAGAAAAGAAGAAAAAAACAACCTTGACAACACTTACATTCAAAATTCCACCATAAGTGACTTCTGAAAGAAAAGGGAATCAGAATCAGAGGCATAAGGAAAGATCCTTGAAGGTTGTTTAGCTCAGTTCCTCATGTGAGAGGTAAAGAAACTGAGGCCCAGAGGAGATACGTGACTTGCTCAAGGTTGTAAAGCTAAGGAAGAGAAGAACAAGAAAGCCAACTCTTCTGCTTCTCATGGCAGGGCTTTTGCTGCGATACCTTAAGAATATGAGATTTTCTCCCCATTTACTATTAATTTTCCTTAGGCCCTGAGACCAGTTTAACAAACAACAGCAATAACAGCAGCAAAAACAACAACAGAAGCTAATGTCAGTGTCACACTTTTAGGTCTAGAAAGCATTCTACATATTATCTCGTAGTCAAACTAGCAAGCTGCAGCTGCCTGAGCAGCTGAGGTAAAATATTCCATCTTTAGAGGCCAAAACGTCTAAATTATGCTTTGATTTTGGTGATGTGATGTCACAGTCTGTACCGTCCCTGAGACAGTTGGGTAAGAATCTAAGCTTTTTCATGGCTTTAAGTTTGAGAAGCAAAGTGATTTTCTGGCTCCTGTTAAAAGAAAAATTTTAATATGCTTTTAAAAATCATCATACTTTTACATGTAATTAATTCACATACTTTTTAAAGTCTCAGAGACTTAAAATATTGTGGGTAGGGAAGAGATAAAGAAACTTGGAAATGGCAAGAATGAGAGGGGAGGGGGAAAGAGTGAGAGAATTCACCCAAAGGACACTACACCAAATTTATTTTATTAAATAATTCACTCTTTCTTGGAAATATAATTGTCCATGTGGCAGATTTTCTGCAAAACACATTAACTTTGGTGTTTCTCCTTTCAAAAAAATTGATTACTTCAACAAAACTATTATCCTAAAAATGAACATGTGTAAGTACTGAAATAGTCACATCATTTTTAATGAGTTTTCACTTTTATTTTTACTACTCCCCCACCTTCCCTTTGCCTATTTGTTACTATAGAAACAAAAACTGGCAGTGCTGCTATTGAGGATTTTTTTCTTTGGAATGGAAATGTGCCAGTCTTTAGTATCAAGAGTGATCTGTAGGTCCCTGCACCTCTGGGATCAAAGACTTACACACTTATTTAGAGAAGTCATTATTTAGCCAAATATATTAACACAATTTTCCTTTTCCTCTCACCTACAATCCCAAAAATTAAATCTAGCTTAAAAATAAACAAAGGTCCTATTCAGAGGCAGAACAGCTTGCTAATCAGAAGAACTTGTTTTTGTTACACAGTCAGCAGGCCGTGTCCATGATCAGAAGTTTCATCTCCTCTACTTCTCTTCATGGCTTTGGACAAGATTATTTGTTCTCAATTCCCCATCTGTAAAGTGGAGAAGCTAATACTTAGCTTATCTTGACCTATCCCTTCCTCTGAATTTCTATGGCACTTTATTTTCCTGACCTATATCAAGGAATGAAAATGATATTACTTTAACAGTGATTCCAAAACTTTTCAAATCATGAGTAACCCTTTTTAGTGTCTTTTGCAGATTCTCAGAGATTATTATCCACTGATTGACATAATACATAATGGCAAGAAGCTGCTATGAATTCAAGCAATGTTTGAAATGAATTTGTATTTCATTAATGACAACAGTGATCTAGATACAATAGAAAAATACTGTGTGTATATACACACACAAGTATACACATACAAACCACATATGTGTAGATATAACATATGTATTATGCTTTGTATACCTAAATGATATATGTGTGTGTATGCACGTAGGCAGCATGGAAAAGTGGAAAGAACATGGACTTGGAATCTAAGGAATCTAAAGAACCTGAGTTCAAATACCACCCGTCACCACCTGTGTAATCCTGGGCAGTCACCTAACGTTTCTGGGCCTTACTTTCCTCATGGATAAAATTGGGAGGTTGGACTAGATGGCATGAGGTCCCTTTCAGCTCAAAACATCATCCTATTCAATTTGTGGTTCAAATATCATTTATGGACGCCTTCTAATTTGCAGCCCACGGGTCTATGGCTCACAGGTTATAAACCACTACATTAGACAATTGAGCACCTGATGATAGCCTCTGAAGCAGTCTCACTGAATGCGTCTCATGCCCAAGTCTCAAACCCTTCACAGGGTTATAATCCCAAAGGAAAGGACAACATTCTTATATATTTTTTGTATTCACAGTACTTAGTACCTATCTGTGAATTGGCTATTTCACCAGTATTGTAAACATCTTTTAAACTTAAAAAAACAACACCACAACCAGCGTTAAGCATTAAGAATTTTTCAAATTTAATTCTTTTAAATAAGAAAATGCATCACATTTTACCTGACACAGGTAATCATGCTGACTCACAATGTCTGGCCTGGATTTGCTGAACTTTTTATTAACTGAACTCTGTGCCTGACCCTAAGCTAAGTACCGTGGAGGACAATAAGAGAAGTATAAGGTAGACCCTCCTTGGAGGCTTTACTTACCTGTTCATTCACTTTATGCAACTAAAGCCACAACTGTCAGTCTTTTTATTTTCATCCCTATTTAAACAAATTTAACACTTTTGCTAATCTAACAATATAAAGAAAACAAAGCTCACTTCCAACAAGCTTTTCTTATCAATTGGAATTTCTAGTCTTCAAGTTCACTTATTTCTCTGTGAATATTCTATATTTAAGAAGACTGACATTTTTTCTCACTACAGAGGAGAAGTGAAGGGGGAAAATAATGCTAATTAAATCAAACAGTCAAAACACAATAATCAAGTACCCTCTCTGAACAAGGTATTATGCTAGTGCTGAAAAAACACACCATCCCATAATGCTTTAATTTTTACAAAGCATTTTCCTTATCACAGCCCTGTGAGACAGACAGTACAGATATTATCAACCCAGTTTTATAAATGAGGAAACTGAGGCTTTGAGAGCTTAACTGATTCAACCATTGCCTTGGCTATACTGCTATTTAAAGCCATATGAGCTCACAGAAAAGTATTTTAAAATATTACAATACATGCACCTTAGAGTTAAACCCAAAGCAGTCGCCTTCTAGAGGACATGCTTATGAAGGTTTATCTTTGGACCATCCATTTAGCTAATGACCTGCCTGGGTAAAATGGCACTCACAAACATTATCTGTCAGCTGAACTTGGAGGAAAGCTTGCCTTTTAAGAGCGTCCTGTGCGCCTGGTACAGCTGCATCTTCAATGTGAAGTGTGCCACTGAGATCCACCAAAACGGCTTTTAATGCACGGCGTGCCGCCATCCTTCATTCCCTAGGAGGAAGAAAATGAAATTAAAAATACTATTTAGAAGACAATGGAAAATGAAAACTGATAAGTATGCAAACAGTATCATTCACATACAGCATTCAGTGCTAAGATCACTTTTAGGGAAGAAAACAAGTTTTTGAAAAACAAGAGAATTCAAAACAAACAATAAAACTTTCTATCTACTTTTCCCACAAGAAAAGGATTAAAAATAAAAGAGAACATGCAAAAATGAAAGCCAGAGTATATCAAGATATTTAAACCATCTTTCACACCGATTAATATGCAACCACATATTAAATATAGAAAACTACAGATCTAAGAAGAAAGGGAAAGTGCTAAGGGTTTATCAAATTCCCATTATGTTTGCTAAATCATAATGAAAATGAATGTTTTTTAGAACATGTCCTGAAATCACATGTGCACATTTACCACTTTTTGATGACATATTTAGGTCACTAAAGGAAAAATAAGTTATAAATATTGCATAAATCACATATTTCACTTAATTTACCAATGTTATCTCCCTCTTACCTTTTTTAATGAGTGTACAGGTTAGAACACTTCTCTTTGATTCAGACTAATCACCCTCTTATGCTTCAAGGGTAAGATATAAACTGGACAGATGATTTTATGGGCCATCTAAATCTTTCTTTATAGAGTATAACATGAAAAGATAAATTTGATGTTATGGCAACCAAGGTCAAATTTCTACTCTTAACTTAAAAGGCGGGTATAGAATTATATTTATAAAACCTAGATCTTGTTTTTCTTCTATGTTTTCAGAAACTTCAGTAAATATGGAAAGGGAATTCTTGTAGAAGACATTTCAGATGAAGAACATGAGACACAGAAACCTGGCGTCTATCTAGGCTCTTTCAAAAGACGCCCAAAACAAAAATCCAGATCATATCCTGCAAAATTTTTATAAAAAATTTTACTAAGAAACACAGACTTAGTACGATTATTATGTTTAAATAAAAACATCTTTCCCCTTTCCTGCTGTCTCCTTCCATATAAATGGCACAGTTCTATTCCAATAACACAGACATTTGAGAGAGGTGCAGCTAGAACCTCCGTTTTAAAACCAGTTATGAGCCAAAGGAACAGGAACAGTACAAACGCTGGACTAAAGAGTTTGAAGACTTAAGTTTAAATTCCAGTTCTTCTACCAACTGGCTGTGTGACCTTGGACAAGTGACTGACCCTGTGCCTCAGCTTCCCTACCAATAACATGCATGGGTTGGACTAGGTTGTTACCAAGATCTCTTCCAGCTCTAAAAATTACATAATTCTATGAATTTCAATTTGTAATTAAAATATTAAAGTCTATTTGTAATTGTCATCTTCCTAACAAGCATATTGGCAGGGAAAAGAGAAAAGACAATAAATGTCTGCTTTTATCATGACACAACTTTCATTTGACTCTAAGAGTATTCATGACAAACAATAAATTACGTTTATAAAACTCACTCTTATCCACTAAGATTTAGCTCTGGTCCTGTACTTAGCATATTTATGAACCACTCACTGGAGAAATTCACTAATCCACCAAACCCCACTCCGACGGAAGAACCTATCTTTCCGAATAGATTTACCCAACTATTTTCTCTCATGTAAATACTTCTCACTTACAAGTTATTGGTGCCTAGGATTATTTCCCCAACTCCCAGAAAGAACCCCAGCAGAAGAACCACAAATATTAAGGAGGCTGCTTCCTTGCCAAACTCCCCCTTCATCACAACTCTTCCTTGCTTGATGCTGGAGGCACAGCAAGACAAAAGCTAACGGTGGCAGGCAGCCAGCTGTTGGTCTGAATTCAGTACCAGAGAAACTATGCATAAATGCTCATAAAGTATATGTGAAATAGTATTAAAACTGGTTCTTCTACATTATGAGTTAAAGGTGGAAACTAATTCAACCACAAGATTTTAATAAGGACCTACCATATACCAGACTCTGGGGATAACAAAAATACATATGAAACTGTCTGCCCTCAAGAAGTTTATATTCCACTGGGGGTGATGACGCGCACATTCGAGCATGCAGAAAATAAATACAAGACAATTTCTGGGGGAAAAAGCATCGCATCTGGGAGAATCAGGAAAAGCTTCATATAGAAAAACTGCATGTGAGCTAAGTTTCTAAGGAAACCAGAGACTGAAAAAGGAGAATATTCAGGGCATGGGGAAAGTCATTGCAAAGCCATGGAAATAAGAAACAGTGTCAAGTGTGAAGTCTACGAAGATGGCCTAAATGGGCCTTGGACCTTAAAGCGTAAGAAGGGAATAAGATAAAATAAACATGGAAAGGTAGGTTGAAGCCAGGTTGTGAAGAGCTTTAAAAACCAAACAGCGAAGTTTGTATTTGGCCCTAGAGACAATAGCCAGCCACTGGAACTTTTTGAGTGATATGGTCAGATCTTTTAGGAAAAATGCTTGACAGCAGTGTAGAGGATAGTTTGGGAGGGAGGAGAAATCTGGGGCAAGGAGACCAATTAGGAAGCTACTGCAATAGTCCAGACAAGACATGATGAGGGTCTAAACTAGGTAGTGGCCATGTAAGAAAAGAAGGGGTTAGATTCAAAAGATTTAGAGGCAGAATGGACAGTATCTGGCAAATGACTGGTTATGTGGCAGGAGGGAGAGCTGAAGATGAATTAGAAGTTATGAGCCCAGGTAGCTAGAAGGATGGTGGATCCCTTCACAGAAATAGAAGAGGGGTCAGACAGTTCAGAAGAGGAGTGGGTTGGGGGAAAATGTGAATTTCGTTTTGTACATGAAAAGTTAGAGATATCTACTGGTCATCTAGTTTGAGTGTCCAGTAGACTATTGCTGACATGGGACTGGAAGTCAAGTGAGAAATAAGCACTGTACAGATCAGTGAGTCATACAGAGATACAATAACTAAACCTGTAGGAGGTGATGAGATAGCAAAGAAAGCAGGCTTAGAAAGAGAACAGAGAAGGGGAGAGCTTTTGTGTATACCCACCGTATGGTATACCCATGTCCAATCTCTAGCTACAGCCTTGTGATTTTACCTTTGTAACATCTCTTTCCTATGCCCCCTTCTCTCCTCTGACACTGCCACCAGCCTGGTGCAGGCCCCCACACTTCATGCCTGGACTACTGCAAGAGCCAGCTGGTGGGGCTCCCTGCCTCAAGTCTCTCCCTGATCCAGTTCACCCTTCACTCAGCCATCAAAGTGATTTTCCTAAAGTGCAGGCATGACCAGGCTACTCCCCAACCCAAACTCCAGTGGTTCCCTGTCACCTTCAAGATACAATATAAAATCCTCTGTCATTCAAAGGCCTTCACGACCTGTACACACACACACACACACACACCCCTTTCTACTCTTCCCCCTACTCTACAAACTCTGTGATCTACTGACACTCAAATTCTTGCTGTTCCTCAAACAAGAAACTTCATCTCTGGATTCCAGGCATACTCACTGGCTGCCTCCCACAGGTGGAAAACTCTCCCTTCTCATCCTGTCCTCCTGGCTTCCTTCAAGTCTCAGATAAAATCCCACTTGCTACAGAGAGCCTTTCCCTATCCCCCTCATTCTACTGTCTTCCCTCTGTTGGTTATTTCCAATTTATCCTGGATATAGTTTGTTTGTACAAGGTTGTGTTTATGCTGTCTCTCCCATTAGCTCAAGAGCTCCTCAAGGGCAACGGCTGTCTTTGCCTTTCTTTGGATCTCCAGTACTTAGCCCAGAACCCAGCACGTGGTACATGCTTCCCAAATGTTTACTGACAGATATGAGGACAAAGAATAGGTTTAGGAACAGTTAAGGTACAGGGAGAGATGAAATATGGAAGGTTATGATCAGATAAGAGGATTTCAGACATTCTGATCATGAAGTATAATACTTATAGATAAACACTTATAAAATGGTCCAAACAACTGACTTAGGAACTTCTTGGATATGTGATTTTGTTATCTTCTCATGCAAACAGTTGAGGGCACCAGATGAAGAAATTACACCCAGGAGGTTGAATCATCTACATCTGATTTCTTCTAAGTGGACAATGCATTTGTCACGATGTAAGATTGAATTTGGCTTCATCACACAGTATGTATCAGATCCTATCCCACAAATATTATTAAATGGACTTTTGACACAATAACTTGTAATATACCAATCACATCAAGGCAAAGTATTATGATATTAAATCTGTATGAATTTAGATATCAAAAAGAATAAAAATTTAATGAAATATTTTAATGCACATGCTGAAGGAGCTACTTTTTCATTTTAAAAGGTGGCTAAATGTTTTAAAAAATGAAGTAGCTGTGACTGAAATTCTTTCTCAACTACAATGAAGTTCTATTAGCCAGAATTATCAGAAAAAGTAGTATTTTGGTTAAATGAAAATTAACTAAAATTTACTTTTTATTTCCAACAATGCTGTTGTCAATTTGAAATGGACAAATTTTTTACTGCCTTAGTAAGTAAGCAGTAGAAAGAGACCTGGGGTTGGAATCAGAGAGCTAGGGTTCAAATCTAAGACTTATCAGCATGACCATGGGTAAGTAAATTAACCACTGGGTCTCAATTTACTTATCTTTAAAATTAGGGAACTGGATTAGAAGACTTTAATTCTATAATCCTGAAATAATCTTATTTTAATTTTTTATCATGACTTATTGTTTTCCAGTGCCTTAGGATAATAAAAAAATCAGTTTTATTATTCTTTTTTTTTATCAATAAGCTATTGCCTAGCTTGATCACCCACTTCATTCACAACAATTCATTACAAATGAATTTTGGTTTTCTAAATCAAATTGCCCTAAAAGGACGAGTATTTGCTATCACTGAAGATATCAAAAGAATGTGCCATAACTCTGAAAACAAATTTAAATGAGTTCTAAAAATGGTTTGAAAAGTCAATGACAGCATAAGTAAAATAAATGCACAGGAACCACACTGATTACTTTGAAGTGGGCAACACTCACTTTGAAATGTAAATTAGGGTTGTTGTTTTATTTTAATTTGATCTCTAAATTACTTCAGTCACTTTGTAGATATAAGACATACAGGAGATTGGTAGGAATTGTCAATGACTTCAGGATATCTTCTGGAAGTTGTATTTTTTTAAATTCCTGATTTAGCTTTTTTCTTATCATTTGACTTCTTTTTCCTAAAAGTAAAGTACAGAAAAAAATCCGGTTAATTGAGAGCTCTAGATAATCAAGATTTCTATATAATCCAGGTTTAACTATGCAACTGTTCCCTCTTTTGAAGCTAAAACACTTAAAACAGAATCACTAGCTGAATCTCTGAGTTAAATGGAATTGCAAAGGCTTCTGCTCCAAACCATCGTACTTGAACAAGAATCCTCTCTAAAATCTATCTGACAAGCAGCCATTTAATACACAAGAATCCTTAATGACTAGAGTACCCAACCATTACTTTTCCAAAAAAGAGAACAGCTAACAGGCTCCAAGGACCAAGAATACTGCTAGAGATTCCATTTAAATGTTACCTCATGTTAAGATGCTTAAATGGTCTATAAAAGTATTCAGATACTACCTTTGGGGCTAAATTTAATAACTACCCCATAAAAGATAAGACTACTTAAACCAAAATTATGTCCTTCATTAGACACAAAGATATATTTATTTTGCCTTTCCAAGTAAAATTAATTTTTGGTTCGTTGTTGTCAACCCTTTAGGGTATAAAATTGAGTCACTGGTCAACAGTAAATATCATTTCAGCATAGGTGGGCAAAAGACCAGGAAACAAATTTAAAGACTTTCTTTATCATTTTCCTTACAAGAATTAAATCTCTAATTAAAGGAAAATGAATCTTAAAAATTACCACTTTAAATTTTTTTCCGAAGGTCAACTAAATTTAAATAAAGGTATTAACTATAAAAAATGATTTTAAAAACTGAAGAATCAATGAAAATAAAAATACTGCTTTCATACAGTCCTACTGGATGCTCACTTCAAAATGTCAAGGCATACTACAACCACACACACCTTCAACAATCCAGGGTAATTTCCACACAATGATAAACCATCAGAATAGGGCTTTCAAGTATACCTTTACTGAAGAGATTATGCCTACAGCATTTAATCACAACTACTAGTAACAATTTCAATTATTAATTACACAGAAGAGAGAGGAAGTAAGTTGACCACAGTCGCACAGTCAGTTTATGGGATTCCACGTGAAGTTTTCTGACTCCAATTCCAAAGTGATCTTTCAACAGAAACCAAACTGCTTGCACTGGACAAAGAGGCCCTAGGCTCCTCACCTGGAGACCTGACAGTAACCCAAGGCTGAGACATCTACATACTGGCCAAACTAAGCCTACCAATCCAGATAAGAGGGACTCAAGAAACAACTCAAGACAAGACGCAATAAAACACTCCAGTCAGGAAGGAAGAAGGAACAAAGCAGACAGTCCACATCTCTAGAAATGGACAGGGAGCAGCTGATAAACATTTCTCTTACTCCGTCCCAACACCACGTGTACTTTCCCTATATAGTAAGTTTTGCTTTAAACTCATATTTCAGAAAGCTAGAATTTGTTCCAACAGGTTTGATATACTGGGAAACATTTTGAGCATAACTTGAATTCTGAGTTTTCTTCTGAAAAACTGAGTAGGCAGGGAAACTGTACCACCTCGCAATAATTCACAAGCTGCCAGCCTTCTGATGCCCACTTCCACAAGTACATTTCAGGTCTTTTTCAAGGTAAAGTGCCATATTTATTGTATATCTTTTGATGTAGTACAAGATGTGAATGGAGAAGGGCAGTCTGAACCACCTTCACCCCTTCCCCCACTCCCTTCTTCTGTGGCCTCCATTTTGGGCCCTGGAGGCTCCAAGATGTAGCTTGCTCAGCTTGCTCCCCTGGGGAACCATCATTTATTGTATTTGTATATTTCTTAATTATTTAACATGTATAAAACTGTGCTACCAATTTATTAGGTTCCTATATTTTTTGTGTATCAGTGATAGTTTTTGAGCATTGTGCCCCAATCCCATTTCCCCATAAACTTTCTGGCTTTCATTGTTTGATTTTGCATAGCAGAACTGACTGTACTGTGTAGCTGTCCAAGCCATTACTAGATTGTGGCAACTTGGGTTTCGCTCAAAAACAAAAAATTAAAGGATGATGCCCCTTTTTGTGGGCATAAGGATGTGTGTAGTGTGTTCTGCCCATGCAGGTTATATGTGTCCACATGGGTCTGTCCAGCTGTGGGCTCAAAGGCGGTATGAATATCTCTGGGGTCTCCTTCACCCACCCTCCTCCAAAGGAGACTTTGATTCCTGCAGGAGGTTTGGACCAGAGGCTACTAGTCCCTTTGCTCTCCCCAGAAGGGTGGGTTCCAGTCTAGACTTAGATCTATCTGCCCCCCAAAGGCTGTTAGTCTAGAGAAAATAATTTTTAGGTTCAAGCTGTGCTCCTGATCACTATTCCTTATCAGGGAAAGAGTGTCCCCAAGTTATACATCCAGAGCTTAATTTCCTTCCTACCAAATGCCAGTTCCACAATAACACATGTAGCAAATGAACCAAACCATTTATCTAAGTTGATTGCAAAACAGTAATCAGAGTAGGTAAGAATGTATTAGATAATACAGAGCGAATGAGCTCTCTTACTGGAAGCTAGATAGCTCAACTTAACCAAGAGAGAACCAGATCCCAAAGGGAAATTCCCCCAAGTCTCTACTATGATAAGCTGGGGACAGGGAAATGATCAAGATGCCGGTTCCTCAACAAGTTGGCTTCTAAGACAGTTCACACCAGACAGAACTGTAAGCTTTTCAGATGTATGTCTGGTTGAAACTTAAGCATACTGCTCTAAATCTCTCACTGCAGCAAAAGAAAAATGAATTCTCTACTTTTCTCACTCTAGGGTAAAGGGTCTTCTAGACTCAATAATTTGAACTGTCAAGGAATAACAGCAAAAACAGAGAGCAAAAAGTGGCATTTTATAAATGGAAATGTTTTCATCACAACAATCCAAGGCAGACAGTACAATAATTAAGGCATTTGTAAAATAGGCCTGAGCTAGGTGGCACAGTGGATAGAGGTCCAGCTCGGAAGTTAGGGAGACCTAAGATCAAATTCAGCCTCAGACATTTATTAGCTGTGCGACCCTGGGCAAGACACTCAACCTGGACTGTCTCTCCCCAAAAAAGTAAAACAGGGCTGAGAAATTAAGTGATTTGTCCACATACTGACTGCTAGGACTAACCCAGGTCAAAACTATTCCCACCACCACCCAATGTCGCTCAACAGGATCTGGTATCCTCCCTATTTGGCCTCCTCCCTCCTTTGTCTCTGCAGAACGTTCATCTGCCAAATCAAAAACCACCTGAGCATCTACTGTGCACAAACGTTTAGTAACTTTTGTTAATAAAAATGTAAACCATTTCCTCCCCAGTAAAATTAGATGCATTAAACAGGAACTAGGGAAACAGTCCTGGAAACACCCAGGACCCCATAAGAATCTCTTGACTCTCATTTTCAGTTCTAAGGTGTCAGGATTCAAAGGTCATTTTGACATCGGACATACACACTCCCCTAGTTCATGTAAGTGTTTTGGTCCAGAGATAACACCGAATTGTGAGTCAGAGGAGGAGGGCTAAAATTCAAGTTCTGGTTCTTACTACCTGTGTGACCTTGGACCCTTTAAGCTCTCTGGGTCTCTGCTACTTCTTCTGTAAAATGACCGGACTAGATGAGGGCCAGGGTCACCTCCAGCTCTATATCTATGATTGAGAAAATCATCGATGCAAATGGAAAAGGCATTTGAAGGCAGCATTGGATTCTGGGTTCAAATCCCTGCTCTTCTACTTAATGAGTGATCGTGGGCAAGTCAACCTCTCTGAGTCAATTTCCATGAAAATCCTGAAATGAGGAGGATTGTTACCAGAGGTAACCTCAAGGTTCCCTTCTAGTTCTAGGTCAATGAAAAGAGCTTGGGCTTGCTTGTAAACATACAAAGGTCCCACAAACACCAGGCCCAGCTTCATGGAGTGATCATTCAGTTCACTTCCATTCTGGGCAGGGGTAGGAGCAAATCAGTCCCTTCCCTCCCTCTGAGCAAGGACTAAAGAGTTGGAAAAGACCTTAGAGATCATCTAACCCAATGCCGTATCTTACAGGTAAGGAAACTGAAGCCTCAAGGACAGAGGCAACTTGTCCAAAAAGTTAAATGGAAAGTAAGTGGCAGTGGCAGTGGCAGTGGCAGTATCTGAACCTAGGACCTCTGACTATGAATCTGGTTTGCAAAGGGCTTTGCTGGCAATAACCCGGGGAACGAGCTACTACTGGGAGTGATCCGCTTATTTTATGGTGGAGGAAGCCTGGGCTGTGAGAGGTTAGGCGGCCCGCCCACAGTCACACAGCAAGTGAACGTCAGCCCCGGTATCCTCGCGCAGGAGGCAGGTCTTTCCCAGCACTCCAAGCCTGGAGTTCGTTTCCGCACCCTCTACCCCCCTTCCTCCTCACGCGGAGATAGTACCGCCCGCTCCGCCCAGGCAGAGAGGCCGGCGGACCGGTCCACTCGCGGGATGGGGGGGAAGGCGGAACTGGCACCAGCCTCTAGTCCGGAAAAGAAAGCTCCAGAAAACACACCCCTTCAAAAACAAAGCAACAAGCCGAACCCTGGGCCAACCGCTACCGCCTCCGCTATTTCTTCCGTCCCGGTGCGGCCCTACGAGAACACGCAAGCCGCCGGCCTCGGAGCAGAAAGAGCGCTTTCTGCACAGCCCCGGAAGCTCCAGAGCGGCAGAGGAAGTCCCACCTTCCTCCTGGATAAGTCCCTCCTTCCTCCTGGAGAAGTCCCGCCTCCGTCGTCACTCTACGCTTTAAACGTCAGACTTTCGCCAACGTAGGACGCCTTTTAGTCATTTAATCAACCAATCAATTAAAAGCAATCAATTAGCATTTATTAAGCGCCTGCAATGTGCCAGGGACTAGGCCAGAGGTGGGGAATCTGCGGCCTGGAGGCTACATGTGGGCCACACTTGAGGCCCTAGCAGGCCACATGTGGCCTGGAGGCCGCAGGTTCACCAGCCCTGGCCTGTGCTAAACAATGGGGATACAAAATGAGACAAAAGACACTCCCTGCCTGCAAGGCCCTTACAATGCATGGGGGAGACAAGATGCAAACAAATACAAACTAGCAATGTACTGGATAAAGAGGAGATAATTAACAGGAGGAATCTAAGGGTTCCCTTTTTAACCTAATCAAAGGTGTAGGTAGTATGGGGTGCTCAAGGAGGACAAGCATCTCTGGTGTGAGGGCTTGCTGAGCCCTTTTCAGGACTGTTCATCCACTATTGGTGTCCACCAGTCATCCACCTCTCACCTGTGGCCCCGTGAAGCTACAAAAAGTGTAAACACCTCTTCAAAACCATCTTGTTAGATGGGCTAAACCAGGTTGAGGGTAATTGACAGACTTCAAACTGGTGGGTGAGTTAGGGGTATGTCTACCTCATGCACATGAAGACTTCCACCCAGTGGAATGGACAGATGAAAATAATTTATTCCAGTGGCCATGAAGGTTGCTGAAGCAGACCTTGTGGAGGGCTTAGAGCATGGTCACACATTGAAGAAGCCAAGGTCAGCCACTACATCCTGGGCGCTCGACAGTTGTCTTGACTTTTGTCTTGCCACTGGACTTGGACGCCTCTGGAAGAGACAGTGAGGCTGATGACTTTATGCTACTCTGCCTCACTTAAATCCAACTCACACGTGAATCAAGAAGACATCATCTGTGATGTCATTGATCCTCTTTGGAAACAAAGGACAACTTTTGTTCTGATTCTTCTTTCACAGCATGGCTAATGCAGAAATATGTTAATATGATTGTACGTGTATAGCCTATATCAGATTACATGATGTCTTGGGGAGGGGGCAGTAGAGGGATAGGAAAAATTTAGAACTCAAAATCTTATAAAAGCAAATGTTGAAAACTAAAATAAATAATTTTTTAAAAAGAAAACAAAGGCAAACAATAACAGTCTTAGTGAGAAACAAGGATATTGCTCTTTTCTTTTATCAAAAATAGTTGAGAATCAGTGAATATATTGAAAAAGTTTGAGGAAATGGAGGAAACTGATATCCTGAATCTTCTCAGTGAAATTGGAGCCCTAAGTCATTTGCCCTAAGTGAGCTGGGACATAGAGGAGACACTTCAGGTTTGAGAGAGAAAGGAAAAGGTTTGGAACAGATGCTTTGGGAAAACAGAGAGGGCGCACAGTGGATAGAGTGCCAGGCCTAGAGTCAAGAAGATCTGAATTAAAATCTGGCCCCCAACACTTCATAGCTCGGTGACTGTAAGCAAGTCGCTTAACCTCCGTCTACCTCAGTTTCCTCAATCTGTAACCTAATGATAATAATACTACCTACCTCATAGGGCTGTTGTGAGGATCAAATGAATTAACATATGCAAAACACTTGGGAAACCTTAAAACACTATATAAAAACATGAACCATTATTAACTTTTATTATAGGCCATGTGAAAGGTGATGATGGCTGAACTTGGGTGATGAGTCTGTGAATGGAGAGGAAGGACACACGCAAAAGATGTGGAGGTAAAATTGGTTATACTTGCAACTGGTGAGATGTGGTATGTGAGGGAGAGAAGAGTCAAGCATGACTCCACGGTTTCAAACTGAGGTTGACTGAGAGGGCGGCGCTACCTTCAACAGAAATACTTCACCCCACTATCATCTCACCTTTCTCTTTGTGGCAGGGCCAATAGAACTTTAATTGATACAACATTTTCCACAATGTCTGGTCTCTGTAATTCTATGCACTTTCTAATTATATGTATAAGGATATGGTTTTACTTCTTAGAATTTTGTAAATATAAATGCTATTCTTCCTCACTCGGAGGAATGTAAATGAATCAATATTGCCTGCTATGGAATATATACATGCATACATACATTTATACATTGCTATAGTAATAGGTAAAGTGTTGTTAGGATTTTTGTATGTTAGAAGGTTATTCTCCTACTGAATCATAGGCACCTCTATGAAGCCTTTGCTGACTTAAGAAAATAATTTGTTAATTCTCCAGATAATTGGCATGTATCCTATAAATGTTGATTATCCCTTGCTTTTTTGGTCACCTCTATAACCAAAAGAGTGTTTCTCGTTTTCCCAATAACTTCACAGATAAAATGACCATCTGGACCAGACAATCCCATAACACCTGGCATCATATATTAGATCCTCCACATCTCACTTGTTAGCCAACCTTGGTAAACCAGAAAACATTCCAGGGTCATAATGTCATCTCACTTAACCAATTACTGTGCTCAAAGATCCTAAAGCCTAGATCTGGAAGCAGAAGAATCAGATAACATCTTGTGTTCCATAAATCACCTTCCTGGAATCTCTGAAAAGGAGAGAGCCTCTCTAATGCTCATCAGAGATAGAATGTCAAACAAATCTCAGCATCAAACGAATCTCTTTTGACACATAAGTTTTCTGCAAGGGTTTCCTTTTCCCCTTCCCTAGTGTGGATGTAGGGTTATCACATAATCGCTCATTTGGAGAAACATTTGCCACCAAATGAAGGAATTGAATTGGGTGGGGGAAATGGACCAAGTCCTCTCTTGAAATATGTAAATTCCTGGTGTCCTCACTCAGATTTCTGCAGTGAGTGGCCTTAATCCCCTTACTTCACTATGAGTCTTCTCACAAAGCAATATTTATTTATGCCCCACTACTTTCCTTCTTGCCAGAACAAATAGGCATTAGGGAATGAGACAAAACTTCCTCTCCTCAGACACCTACTGTCTTTTATTAGTCTATCCAAACTCTATTTACTTTGCTTCTTGTTGCTTTTGAACACAAGACTGGGCTGTAGTGATCTCTGTACATGGAATAACAGTATACACACTGCTTGCTATATCAAGGTGTTGGATTTAGCAGGGTATTTGTCCTTTAAACTTATAAGGGGAAAACACCCTCATTCCCAGATTGCAATCCTTGACCCAGACTAGCCAGTTCCCTTGCCTTCTCTCTCTTTGGAAAGAGAACTCAAGTCTCATGGCCTCTCCTACTGGCTGCCTGTCTAATTGGAAACAGATCTTTGGCCTCCTACCCTTTCTTGTTCTGACATGTGGATCATTCATGTTAACCAGTGGCCCTGAAGTCCCTCAGACAGATCATTAGCTCTGCTCAGCATGGCATGCCCACATCAGAGAAGGTGCTGTGCTCTATGAGCAAAGCAGAATTGAAATAGCTCAAAAGAAACACAAGATGTACAAATTTAGAGAATCCACCCCAAATGTTCACACGGACCATTTGTGCTTGACCTGTGGTAGAACACTCTGAGCTCATGTTGGTCTGATCAGCCACAGTCGGATATACTGAAACTTGACTCTAGCACAGTGATGTCGTTTTGGTCCCTTTTTTTTTTTTTAAGGCAATTGGGGCTAAGTGACTTGCCCAGGGTCACACAGCTAGTGTCAAGTGTTTGGTCTGAGGCTGGATTTGAACTCAGGTCCTCCTGATTTCAGGGCCGGTGCTCTATCCACTGCCCACCTAGCTGCCCCCGTTTTGGTCCTTTTTGAGAACAAAGGACAACAACCATCAGATCTGCTTGATTCCCTGACCAGTCTATTTGGGAATTGAGCACAAAACATCTTGGATGTAGAACATGGAGCACAAAACCTTTTAAAATTCAGCTTGCCTGAGGATAAAAAAAAAACCACTTGTGCAATGATATTAAAAGAATAGAAGAGACAGATATTGCAAAAATCTGAGATAGTAATGGTATAGCCAATGCCCCAAAGTGTCTGAGGCCAGAGTGAAGAAGAGAGAAACAACTATATGGTACTGAATAGTACTACGGTACTAAAAGGTGGTTCAAAGAGTTGGAAGAGACCTCCTCAGGAGTCATCTAATCCAAATTGTCCTTAAGCAGGAATCCTGTTCTAAAACATTCATGAACAATGGTCATCCAGCCTCTGCTTGATGGAAAACTATCACCTAAAGCACCTCAGTTCCATTTTTGGACAATATTAATTATTCAACAGTTCAACAAACATTTATTATTAACAAGTTTTTCCTTTTATTAAGCATAGAATCCCTTTTATTGCTGTACTCCCACTCTTTGCTCTTCTGCTTTGGGGCTGATCCTCTTCTCCCTGGTTCCCCCTTCTATCTCTAGTATTCTCTTCTCCAGGCTAAATATATGGAGTTTCTTCAACCAATTTTTGGATGAATGAGTGATTAAATTAATGAAAAAAGCATTTATTGTGACAGAGTCCTTCTTACTTTTTGGTAAATAAAGATCCTCTCCCTAGCAAGTCTGTCCACTATGTAACTATTTCTTAAGTTTTCTCCTTTTTCTCTTTCTACTTTGCAAAGAGAGGTTTTTTAAAAATTTACCTTGAGTTGATCATCTTGAGTGTTATCATAATGCATAACTTAATCATGTAGACCTGAATTCTTTTTAAGATTGTTCCCTAAGAGGCTCAAACGGACCCAATCTCATATTACTTCCTGTTTTCCCCCTGTAAGACCTAGACATCCAATTGAAAATCAACACTGAGCTATCTACTAAAATGAGGCAGACAACCCAGTCCACTTTCCCACTATCAGCGTCATGGCCTTAGCCACTCAAAAAATCCATTGCTTCTTAAAAAGTGAAACATTCAAAGTAGGTGCCAGGAAGGAGGAAGTGCAGTTAGAAGAGCAAGGGGGTTAGGAGTAAGATACAATGGGGTCAGGTTCAGGAATAGAAGC